TGTATATATTATGTATGTATGTATCTATGTACGTATGTATGTATGTTTGTATATATGTATATTTATATTATAATTGATGTTTGTAGTTTGTACCTTCACTGCACCGCATTATTATTTTTATATTTTCTCACGCTTGAGGGTTTCTGGTAGAAATCTCTTAAAGAGATAAGTCATCCTTTGTACACATGGCATCTGTTTTAACTTGTATGTTTTTTTTCCTGGTACATAAATAAATAAATAAATAATTAAAAATAATAATTATTAATTTTTATTAAAAGATTTGGAGTAGTAACACACATGATTTTTCTACGAATAATGCTTTAACTAAATAAATGTTAGATTTAGACGTAATCTTTGCCAAATATGTAGCTAAGTTAAAACATGAAAATGTATACAATATTTGTTTAAGTAAGAACACAATTGTACAGTACTATTTTATTCTCTTTTTTACTAATGTTCGATAGAATGAACTAAAAACGTACAAAAGGCCGATCTGGCTCGCTATAAACATTTGTCGCACCCATGAAAAGTAATATGGCGCTGCTACAATATTTTAAAAGCTATTTTTCACACTAGCGATTTTTAAACTAGTATTTGATGTGACACCGGAGCATTTTAAAATACTAAAACGAACAAACTAACCTTTTTTAGAAATTAAATAATCATGTTTTTACAAAAAAAATGTGTATACTTATCTACGCACGTAAGAAGTTATACTTCTTTGGCGTACCAGAACAAATATAGCTAAAGTTTTCATCCCGTATGTCACAACTCACTGTTTGTAAAAAGAATGATAAATTAATAAAAATAGTTAAATAACGCATATTAAGCATATTACAATCCTATATTTATTGAATATCGTTTAAGGAAATAATACAATACTATAAAATGTAGGTACCTATATCATTTCTTAGACAATAACAAAGGTTACCATGGCAACAAACAGTCAGCTAACTTCATTACGTCGCTTTTAGCTACCTTCATCAGGTCACTTTTTGGCTGTCGGTGTGCGCGTGCATCGTAAAAATTTTACTCTGATATTTTTCTTTCAAACATCGAAAAAAATGTATGTACGAGTATAACTCCAAAAAATACACTTCAAATTATTCTAATCTTAGGGTTTTTTATATGGGATCATGCTTCAAGTGTAAACCTATTTACAAATAAAATACCTATGAAAGTTTATTTATTATAAAAATGAATATTAGATATAGAAATCGAAGATATCGTGTAATATATATATACACAAAAGAACATACAACCTAATCTATAACTCCTTTTTATAGTCGGTTAAAACCATTATGTTAAAATAATGAGGGAGTCCATATATTCCTTAACAAAAATGTTGGAATTTGGATGCCCAAATCATCCCGGATTTTATTGATCACAAGCTGCAGACCCAAATGCGGATGAAATGGAAAGAGGATATTAAATAAATCAAAGGTATTTTACCAAGAGGTCGAAAATGTTCTCCCAATGTAATAATACTCAATTAGTAAGAAGAAGAAAGGTAAGTAAATGTACGTTAAATTTATTGAAAGTCCTCGATTTTTTTAATACTCGTAAATAATTTGCTTCTAATGTTCGTTATTATTTATTCTTATTTTATATTCGTTCGCAGAATCCAAAACTTTAACAGCCATCCGGGATATTAAATGTACAACTCTATATTTTTACTTTTATTAACATAACATCAACAGTGTATACAAAGAAAGTGATACAATAAAAATAGAATACCAAAAAATATTTGCATAGAATATAAATTAAAAAAAATATATATATTAAATTCGATTTACTTCTCCAAACACATAATATAAATGTTTTTCAGGATTTTCTATTGTAATAAGAAGCATAAGTAACTGCTTAAAGAATTTACACTTCCCGACAGTCAAAACAAATACTTGTACAACTATGTTAATATAGTGGCAACTCGTCTTATAGGGTTGGTAAAAAAAAACTGCTACGTTTTTACTTGATACACTTGTGATTATGAAATGACACCATATGGGATAATGTGCATTTTTCTTTTAATCTTATTATTTAATATTCTATTATATTTTGTTTAACATATTCTTAGTAGCGACTTATTCTCACTTAGTACGGAAGTGTCCCTAGGTTCCTAAAAGTAGTCTGTGTTGGCTTTAGGTCATGATATATCTCCTCCCCAACGTGCGGTCACCTTGTCGTGGTGGGGGGGCTCAGTAGTGCCCGGCAATCCAGCCGGGCGCGAAGCCAAGAAACGCACAGGGAGGTGGCCCACTTCGGTAGGCGGTGGGAGGTGGCCCTCTTCGGTGAGCTTTGCGGGTTGCTTCTGGTGCTTCTCTGATAGCAGAGTGGACTTTGGAGCAACCTCATAGTTGTGGTGGTCTGCTTCGGCAGACCTGCCGTCGGGGCGTCGTAGCTGAATGCGTAAGCGATCCTGCGACGCCCCATTAAGACGGGGGAAGGTTTTGTTGGGTTTTAGTGGGTAGTACTGGCTTTATTACGCCGGTGAGTCCGTGTGGGACTCACCGTGGGGGACTCGTGCGTAAATGCATTTCCCAACGTTAAAAAAATAAATAAAAAAATAAATAAAAAAAAGAAAAATAAAATAAAAACGATGTATCTGTGTACTCAATTTTATCCAAAGCCGCTTTAGCTTGAAAAGGTAACAAACAAATGCACACACATACAAACTTTCGGATTTATATTTATGTATTTTATCAACAGGAAGAAGCCTCTTGAGATGACGGTATTCCATAGCTTAGAAATGAACAATATTTAAATGATGATAAATGAACGCTAATAAATGAACACTATTTTATTCGAACTAACTACTGATTCCATTAGTTTTACTACAACTTCTAGCAAAATATCATTTACCTGCAAAAGAAATCTTTTTACTTATTTGATTAATTTCTTCTTCTAAATTATAGTACACTAGCGGCTCACCCTGGCTTCGCTCGGGTTCGCTCGCCTCTAGGAAAACAAAAACAAACCTGTCCCACGGGAACCGTACATTTTTTCGGGATAAAAAGTAGTCTATGTGTTATTCCAGACTATAATCTATCTCTGTGCCAAATTTCCAGTTTCCAGATCCGTTCAGCCGTTTTGGCGTGAAAGAGTAACAAACATCCATACTCACAAACTCACATTTATAATATTAATACGAATTTATTGATTTAAAACTTCTAATAGTTTAGTTATGGACGCATATAGACGTGAAGTTAAGTGAAGGACGAAGCTAATGAAGCTCGTGCACGGTTCGAAATTAACTAACGTGTAGACGTCCTATAACAGAAATGAAAGGAGAAAAATATAAAACAGTATGACTTATTTGTTACTATTGGTTTTAGTAAACAAAAAATAATTGAAAACGTGCTTTTTCATGTTATCTTTAAACATCGTGAATTTACTGCGAATTCATCCAAAACTTAAAGGATCATTATCTGGTAAACATAATATCGTAGTTAAGGAATGGTTATTAAATCAAAACACACAAGTACATTATATACTATATTCAGGATCTTACAAGTTTAATTTGTAACTAATTATAATAATTATTAAATTAAAGATCTAAATGTACAAAAATGTTTATATACAAGAACTTCCATGCATTTATATACCTTAAATATAATTGTGTAGGTAAATGTTCGACATTTCAGAAATTTATTAATTTTTTGGAAAAATTTAACGAACATGAAAATACACAAACTTCTAAAACAATACGATATAATATTATCATAGTTATCATATATTTACAATAAATTGACAAATATTTATTAAAGAATGTGAAGAATGTGTCAATTTCATATCTCCTGATCAATTTAAGAGTGATACAAATAATATTTAATAAAAAATATGTATGAAACTCAATCCCAAACAATTAAGTTAAATGTAAAACTTAAAAGTTAAATAACAATCGTAAAAGTCGATGTCATTAAAATTAAAGCTTGTTATTTAAATGAGTACATAGAATGATTACCTGAGGTGGCACGAAAATGGCAGTAAGCCACCTTTAACGAAGTAATCTTGAGTATATTATGTATTACGACGTAGTTTTAGTTTCTAACAAAATCTTCGACATAAAAAGAAACAAAATGATGCTTCGAATCTTTTCTTTTACCTTTTTATAATATCGAGACTTAGTAAGCGTACTACCAAAACAATACCTCTCTTAATACGACAATACACTTAGAATACAGTATAAAATCTTTTGATGTTCATGATTTTACAATCCATTCGCTTACTAAATTCGCCTTAAACTCAAATGTCACACAGACTAATTTTTACATGCAACTAACTCACATACCAAAGAAAACGTATAATTTTCCACACTATATAATTACCAATTGGACATTTGGCACCACACTAAGGCGTTTCACGCTGTCACTCTGACGAAACTACGGGTTCTGAGCAAATATAGGTATGCAAAGATATCTACAGGATTCTGTATAAACTCACCTATTTTCAACTTACAATATCGGCGAGCTCTTAATCTATCTATTTACATCTCACAATCAGTCAAAGTTACTATTTTGGCAGATTATCTTAAATTTTACCATCTAGACTTTTTAAATCTTTTGTTTATACACTTTTAAATTATCCTTTAAATTCTTTAAATAGCCAATAAAACGTATAGGCCATGTAGTCTAATATGTAGGACCTATTATTTATTTTACTTTAATACAATATCGAAAGCTAACCGAAACAATCGTTTGGCACTAAAACAATATTCCCGAAATAGGCCGGTCTAAAAGCGGCTAAAATATGAATAAATCTAGAAAAATTATATAGTAACTGTTATAAAGTCGAATTTACGATAAAATGATCCAATGAGAGCATATCTATTTCACAACCTGTTAATGGTGTAACTGGGATTTTTTGTAGCTAAAAGATGTTCTACCCAGTTTTACAATATCGATGAGTCTAAAGTCATTAGATAACTATTTCTAAAATCGAGGTTTAAAGATGATATTGTCAAGGGGTTAAGTTAAATTTGTAATGCTTTCAAAGTTTTAGAAGTTGCTGTCGTAGTCGGAGCGACGCCGAGAGTAGTGTGAGCGCGGGAACTCCCCTGTGTAGCCGTATACTTGCGACCCCGCGCCAGTCTGCCCGTAAACTTGTGACCCGCCATATCTGTACAAAAAACAGACAAACACTTTATTTTATTTAAATTTTATTTCTAAGTAGTAGCCTTATTTTATAATATGTGTGCGTAAAATGCAAAGATCTAATTATAATTTGCATTGCTTATACTTGTATATCATAATAGGAAAATGTACATAAAGATTACATATATTCGTCGTTAGAAGAAAGCTACAAATGTTTCAATAGAGTCATATTTCTTAAGAATAGCAGTTGAGGGAGGAACATAATTTGTTGCAAGCGAACTATTTCATTGAGTTTCCTCTATGTAATATATCGGGTAAATTAAAAGTTCTTTAAAATAAGACAATGAAGAAAGAATAAATTTTTTATACTGATCATTCTTTAAACTGACATAACTTTTTATTTATGAACCGATTGAAATAAAACAAAATGTTAATTGAAGCTTACTACATATTAGTGAAAACCGCACCGGTTAAGCCGTTTTTAAGATTAGCGTGAACTAACGTATAGACAAACAGACAAACACACGTAAATTCTAAAAATCATTTTTTGGGTTAATAATATTTTTACCCTCAATAATAGTTTTTCTCAAATATCTTCCATGTACAAACAGCGATCAGTTACAATTTTATTATATTTATAAATTGAAACCTTTCTTAATAAAATAGGAAACTTAATTTTTATTTCAAGGAGATGTGAATAGTAACATGTTCTTACCCATTCCCCGTAGTGCCATAGATCTGTGATCCTCGACCAGAGTCAGGTGTGTAGTGTTGCATATACTTCTGCAACTGTGGAGTCCACTCTGATCGCCAGGAGTCACCGGGATTTGTATACGCTAATTGCTCTATGAAAGCACTTGACATGCGCTGTACAGAAAGTAAAAATAGTAGATATATATTTTTTTCAATTTAGAATATATTATGTAAATATAGATTTTAAGTTGTTTAGTAGCAAAAATTTGAACTTGTTATTCAAATTATGTATGTAAGTATTGAAACTTTACGTACATAATATATTTTCGGTGTAATTTAAAATAACTGACACGCTTATAAATACCTTTACCTTTCCTGATGGTAAGTACGGAAGATCACGCTCTTTCAACTGGTGCATGTCATCAAATCCGCCCATGTGACTTTTATCAAGTTCTCTTAACATGTCTTCACTAAGAGGAATCGGCTGCTTGGTTTTAGTACTTTTTTGACGGTTCACAAGCTGAAAGTAATATTTAATAGTTATATATTAATAACTATGTTTTAATAGTTATAAAAGTTTAAAAAAAAAACATTAAAAATAAATAGTAACAAATTAAAGAGTGCTTGTCAAATGAAAAACATACCACTGTAACACCAAAAATAATAACGAATAATAGCGAAGCCAGGGCTATTACGATAACTGCGATTCCCCATTGCGGTAAGAGAGACTCCTCGTCCGGCTCTATAATAGTCGGCTCTTCGCGTTTTGGCACAACTGAAATTAAAACAGTTAAATATTATAACAAAGTTATTTAAATAATCTAACTTTAATATCTGTATAAATTTAAGAATTAAAGTTTTATATAATCCTTATTTACCAATAAATTCTGTGTATGCTGGATCCATCACAAATTTTCCTATTTCTAATTTTCCTGCAGATTTATCAATGGTTTTAGTCATTTTTTCGTCACTCTTTTTCATTCTTTCTTCATCTGGCTGATCTCCTAACATTACATCTGGATCAAATGTATCTGATTGTTGTTCTTCCATCACTGAACCAGCTTTAGCCTCATTTAAAGATTTGTGGAAGAGTCTTTTTAGTTGTTGCGTATCAACTCTATCTTCAACATTGTTTAGTTCAATGAAGTAATCGACAAGTACGGAGCCTTGGCTGAATCCGTCTATGCGAATTCCTTTGTACCATTTGCTTAGTAAATCAGATTTAGAGTAGACGGAATTGAGCTGTATACAAAAAAAGAGAATTTATAATAATGTCCATATGATCGACTTTAAATCACAGCAGACAAATTCTCTGAAATTTGGCATAGTTTCAGTGCACAAATCTAGTATTAAAACATATAATTAAAATGTGAGAAAGAAAGATTTTTTCTTTTTATATCTATTTAAAACGTACCTAGCGACGAACCCGAGCGAAGCGAGGGTGAGCCGCTAGTATATTATAATATAGAAACATAGGTGTACTGTCTATCCTTTTACATTCATAGGGACGGCAATCCCACATGACGGTGTATAATGCAAACTAACTATGCACTAACTACCTAATTCTATTTTTTTAAGAATTTCTAGACAAAAAAACTAACAAAGACATTTTGAACCTTCTTAAAGTTTTTACTGCGGGAAAATATCTCATCACTGAGAAATCTATCTAGCCATTAAAATGTATCTAGGAAACGAACTCGAGCGGAGCGAGGGTGAGTCACTAGTATACCTACATATATTTATAGTAAAAGGTACTATACGTGCTACGTACTTATTTCATATTTTTATGTTTTATTCATACATACCTCCTCTTTTACCTCCTTAGCTAATTTTTGCCACTCTATCGTATGATGATCTAAGAATTCTGGGACCCATGTTACACCTATTAAAATAAAAAAGTACTGAATAAAATATATGATGAAAATAATTATTTTCATTACTGTCTTGAATAATTGCATAATCGATACGACCACTTATGTAAGATCATATCGATTTAATGCGTTTTAAATAATCACCTGAAACAATTTTAATGGTCGCAGCTATGTCGCATTCGTGTCGACATACTCCAGGAGTGGTAGGCGGAGGTGGTGCTGGTGTCGTTGTTGTCGTAGAAATGAATCGTCGAGTCGTTGGTTCGGTATTAATTTCTGGTAGCAAAGTGGAGGCAGTAGCGTTTCTTTGTAGTTCCAGAAGCCGCTCAATTGAGAATGGTGTTGTTGAAGGTGAGGGCCAACCGGTGAATTCAGTAGAAGCTCTACAAAAAAAACACATATTGTATAATTTGGCTAAACTAAAGAAGTTCTTGTAGCTATATAAAAATTAATTATTTATTATGCTTTTTTCAATATATTATTTAGTTTTCTTTATACTATTTCTTTGTTGCATTTACCTTGTTGGCCAGCCTTTTTGAATTCTCGGAGTTACTTGAGGTGGACCTACACTTGATTTTTGAGTTGTAGTTTTCCTCGTTGATTTTCCACCAGGTCGTGAAGGAAAGACTAATTTAAAACCACCAGAAGATGCAGTAGTGGTAGATGATGGTTCAGAATCTTCAGAGTTGTCTAATTTGAATCCTGGCGGTAAGAAATTAGAGATATCGGCAATTTTGATCAATGGACTTTCAGCTTTCTCTGGTTCAGTACTATTTAGTTTAAATCCTGGCGGTAAAAAGGCAGAGATATCAACAGGAGCAGCATTTATTGGTAATTTTGGAATAACTTTAGGCTTTTCCGTTGTGGTTGATGTTGTTGTTGATGAAACAGTACTCGAGGCATTAAGTTTAAAACCTTTTGGTAAAAATGCAGAAATATCAACCAGCTCAACATTTTTCAAAATATCTGGCTTATTATTATCTTCCGCTTCGTCTGTAGCTTCTAACTTGTAACCAGGTGGCAAAAATTTACCAATATCATCCTTTTGAACTTTCTTAAATATGTCTTCCTGATTTCGCTCTTTTGGTTTATATTCTTTTGGAAGTAATGATTTATCATCTAATATAATAACTTTATTTTTAGAACTTATACCAGAAGAACGGCCTTGTGTACCGTTCATTACATTAATTCCTATAGTCGACGTCGGGGCCTGGGTAGTAGTTGTAGTAGTGGTTGTAGATGTCGTAGTTGTTGTAGAAGTACTAGTACGTTTGTCTTTGAAAGATTGCCGTGGCTTATATCCTGCAGGCAGTAATCCCGACAAATCATCCATTATAGTTACTAATTTTTTCTTAGGTTTAGGAGTAGTTGAGGTCATTACTCGCGGAGTGAATTTTTTAATCTGCACTGGTAATGGATCTGGGGAGGATCTTTCAGTGGCAACGGAAAACTGCGTACTTTTTAGTGTAAACAGCTTAACAGGCTGAGGAGTGGTAGTAGTAGTTGTCGTTGTTGTACTGCTTGTAGATAGAGTTGTTTGTTCTGTGGTAGACTCAGTTATTAACTCTATGTTTTTATGTTCTTTATTTAAATTTCCTGACAAAACTGCACTGGAAAGTTCTGATTGTATACTGTCTAATTTATCATTGATATTTTCAGTAGAAGATGAGCTATTTAATATATTACTAGGATCTTGCATTGGATTTTGAGTAATACTTTCCTCTTCTTCATCTGTTAATACTTGTTTCTTTTCTTCTTGTTCTACTGTTGGGAATGGTAGAAATCGAGCACCTGACACACTTCTACTTGTTTGAACAGATGCAACTACAATCCAACTTTCTGTAGTCACAGGAAAAGTGTCTTTGGTATCGTTCGATGTCGCTGGTGTTATTTCAGTTTTAGGTGTGGGTGGGTAAGTAATATCCGGTACTGAAATAGTGCCATTTACAACACTCTTTGTAGTCACTACGGAAACAATTTCTTGTCCTAAAATTGATTGTGATTCTTTTGAAGAAGTGTCCTCTTTTGAAAATGTAAATTTCAAGCTTGGTACTGCTGTGTCATTATGATTATCAGTTTCAGGCTGATCTATAACTGTTGTATCAATAAACTGCTTAAAGTTATCATCTTTGACCATTGTTTTGTTAACTTTCATCATTAAAACATCAAATGATTTCGTAGCATTTGTTTTTACTTCTACGATAGTCTTTTCCGGTTCTTCAGAAGCATCATATTCATCATATATGTCAGTCACTGGCTCCGCAGTAGTCTTTACAGGTTTTGGAGTAGTAGTGTTTTTTATTTCAGGTTCTTCTTCATCATCATAGTACTCAACGTATTCCTCTCCTTCCTCTATTTCTGAACCATCATGCATATCCTCTTCATGAATTTCTGCATCCTTTATATTTTCAGTTGTCGAAGACGAAATAATTGTAGAATTTAGTAACTTTTTGGAGGAATCAATAGACATAGGCATTACAGCAGAATCATTGGGTATATTATCAGAATTTACAGAACTTGCATCTGATTTGCTATCATCTGACTCTAAGCTCTTGTTAGATTTAATAACCTCAACATCAAAAGATCCTTGATTATTTTTCATTAATTCTCTAAATGAACTAATATCACTGATATCATCTTCAAGAAGTGGTTCAATATCTAAGAGCGATTTATATTCAGTAGAAGATCCGTGGTAGATATTTGGAATATTGTTAGATGGTTTAAAATTATTATTTACATTATATTTGTTTAGTGGCACATTCTGAACAACTTTTTTTACTTCTACCGGCGAAGTATCCAAGTGAGGAAATCTTGAATTATTTGGTTTTATGTTTATTTTTTGCCTACTCGATAGCTTAGTGGGATTATATGTTGTAACTTTGTGGTGATCAAAGAAATCTTGATCATCATTATCAATCTCATCGTCATGAGAGATGTGACCACTTTGTCCGTTACTTTTAAGACTATTTCCATCGAATGGAATATTTTTATATCTATTATTTTGTAGATAATCTATATCTGGATTATTTATCGTTATTTGACCTAAAAATGTCTCAGGTTTTGAAGGATTATTTTGATAAGCGACTGAGTGGATTTGTGACACATCAGGTCTTTTTGTTGAAGCAGGATGAACCAGTTGAAAATTAAAAGGTAGAGCAGGCCTAAACCTTTGGCGCTGCGATGTTGTAAATTCAGGTTGGTTTATATAATATTGTGTCCCAGATTGACTTCTGCCAGTTGGTAATTGAAAAGGTGAGGGATTTTGATCATAGTTTGGGCTAGGAAATCTTATGCGCCCGTCATTATAAAGTGGTTGTTGTTCCGTGGGCGTAACTCTAAAACTATCACCATGTTCGAAAAAGGTCGTTGGTCGATTGTTTGGATATATAGGCGGTTGAACTTGAGCAAAACTTCTTTCTGGTGTGTAATAAAAATCATTTTCATCTGAAAAAAAGAAATTAATTTTTAAGAAAAATTATTGAATTTATTATTATTATTATTTTAATATAGGAAAATGTTAGTAAAATTCTTTATATATAAAAATACAGCGCGTGTCTTCCTCTCCTAAATGACTTGAGAGATTTTGATGACTTATTGTGTGCTTATGGGGCCACCTAGATGGTTTTTAGTTGTACTTGGCAAGTGGTATTGTTATTGAAATTCAGATATTTTTATTTTCCGACTAAACAAAACAACGTCTATCTACCAGGTCCGCTAGTATTTATATATATTTTTTCTGCTATCTTGTAAATATAAAACAATAAATAATTCTTAATGTTCTACTATCATTCTATAGTAATCAATTGAGAATTTATGAAATGCAATTTACATACTGGTCACTATTAGAGACAAGTAAATTATACTCCATATGACAATTAAATGCTACTAATAGGTACATTGCTTGCTATGCACACAAAGTGACTTTAATAATGCCACTATTTTGTGCTCACAATATTTTAATCTTAATCTATACATATACTAAATTCTGAGTCGAATCTGTACATTAAATATTTTGTCGAAAATCTTATTGAAATAGTCATTATTATCGATACGGAGGCCGAATCTTTAGAATTTTTGTCTGTCTGTCTGGGAACGCATCACGGAAAAACCACTGCAGGGATTTTGATGAAATTTGGTATGATAGTAGTTGGTTATCCGGGTCAACATATAGGATACTTTTTACCGCGAGAAAATATCTCATTTCTGAGAAAGAATACAAAAACTACAATGTAAGAAAGAGTACCTATACTAACACGTAAAACCTAAGAATTTGGTTTTTGGTCATCTGAACGCGGGCGGAGCCGCGGGCTGTTAACAAATAATGACAAACGCTTTACTAAACTCATCACATCAATTTTAATAAATAAATATATATTATTCGAAATTTAATATAACTATAATCTATACTAATATTATAGAGGCAGAGTTTGTTTGTTTGTTTGTTTGTTTGTTTGTTTGAACGCGCTAATCTCAGGAACTACTAATTCAAATCGGAAAATCCTGTTTTCATAATATAGCCCATTTATTGAGGAAGGCTATACGCTATATAATATATATCATCGTGCTACTACTCAAGTGAGCGGAGCAGTAATCATAAATGTCAACAAATTGGGCAGATTTCCATACATTATTACTAATGGCATAAAGCCAAAAAAAATTTTTGTAGGTTTAGCGTGAGCGAACCCACGGGGTCTGCTAGTTTATTATATTTTTCAACAATGAAATAACTACCTATGTAGTAATCATTTAAAAGCAATTACGGTATTTGGGCTATAAACTCACTTAACACTACAAAGCTCCTCCAAATTGTGGGGCAAACAGAACAATAACATAATGGATTTCACGAGTTCTCTCCGTACAAATTTTCCTTTGTTACCAATCTTAATCCAATTTCATCCAAAATAAAGTCTTTAAAAATTATCTTATCATAATTATCTTAAAATATTGTATGTATGTATGTATTTAGCCCTTTTTAACGTCCCACTGCTGGGCACGGGCCTCCCTTCAATACGAGGGGGATCAGGCCATAGTCCACCACGCTGGCCAAGTGCGGGTTGGCGGACTTCACATGTCTTTCGAAAACTTGCTAGGTTATCTCAGACATGCAGGTTTCTTCACGATGTTTTCCTTCACCGTAAGGCAAGTGGTAATCATGTTGGAAATGATTCGCACATGAAAATATCGGAGGTGCGAGACCCGGGATTTGAATCCGCTTAACTCGGTTTTCCCAAGCGAGCGCGTTACCACTGTTAAAATATTACTATCAAAAAAGTCTTTTATAACATATTGCTTAATCTCCGTGTACATGTAGATGCATTATTTCCTTCAAAAAACTTAATTTTAAATAAAAATATCTTGACGATTTTTTTCGCGGATTTAATTTGATTTTTGGTTCCCGACGCGACCTTTCGAATGCTAATCATGGGCACGGAAGATACTAATTAACTAAAGGGACTTAATTATTAAAAAGTAACAATAAAGTATTGTTATTATCGTAATTAGATTATATAGACTATTCCTAATCAGTTAAAAGAAGATACTTTGAAACTTTCACTCATATGTTTCATTTGCCTTAGTGGTTCTTGTGGCTTTTCCTTCAAATTTAGGTAACTTAGGCCATCAACGGCAATATGGTGTTATACCAATTATATTTCTTTAAATTTTCATAATTCGAAGAACCTACTTACCTACCAGCATTTGGTAAGAAGATAGTTTGAGACCCTGGGAATGACATAGGATATTTTTATCATGGAAATAATTCCTTAAGGGGGTAAAAATAGGGATGAAAGTTTATATTGGGAAGCAAGCTAGGAAAGAACCCGTGCGAAACGAGGGTGTGTCGCTAGTCTATATATAAATAGGCAAAGACAAAACAGTTCACTAATATTATAAATAGGCAAAGACAAAACAGTTCAGTAATTTTTCTCCTCTGTTTGTCAACCAATTTTCTTTTTTTTTCTTTAGTAGCTATTGATGATCTTATAAAGTGTAGTAAATAAAGAAACTTAGATACAGTTGGTTTTCTTTAATATTAAATTATATAGTAAATTCTATTCGTATATGTTTTCGTCGAATTTTCAATAATGAGTTTGGTCGAATTTCGACGACTAATATATTAATAAAAGATATTGTATGCAAGTATATTTATTACCTTAATTACATCATAAAACATGATCAAGAATTTAGTACCTACCTACCTACAATCTACAAATATATGTTTATTGAAATCGATTTTTTATTTCAACACACACATGTATATAACATAGATTAAAAAATTATATAATAATATATTTAACTACCTATTTTTATAAATATTAATCTATTCAATCAATATTTTTTTTCATTCAACTCATCCTAGTCCCGTCCCTAGATATTAACTTTCAGTTGGTATAGCATGAGCATTGTGTAACATGCACTGTAGCTTTAGTACAGGACTTAGTACGAATGATTTGTAGAAAGTGCCGTTTTTCTCGATATGATGGTTGCCACAATCTTTATTAGTATTTCAAATCATTGCCATTGCATGGGTAAAATTTTTAAACAACATGATAGGCATCATAACTTTTCTATATCTGTCATCGGTTCCGCTGGTTCAAAATAACTCATAAGATATTACTCACGAATATAATAAAATGCAACTTTCTTAAATTAGGAGTTTTCATTGAAGAATTCATGATTTATCTGTTTTTATGCAAATATTGAATACTTTTACTAATAGAATAAAATAATGATTTATTTTATTAATTTATTTGTTTGTTGAAACAATTATTTACAAAATGATAAATAGATATTCATAATGATTCATAGATAATATATCCCTTGCATGTCAGTTGTTCGTCTACTGTATTTTAAATACATAATCTATTAGAAACAATTTATTTTAACGTAACAAAAATATATATTTGCTACTTTCAAAATTCAAAAACTATTTATTTTTAAAACATCATAATATATAATCTTTATTTGTATCATATCTCCAATTAAGAGAGACGGTAACGGCTCAAGAGAAGGATCTTGTCATTATAATATGTGATCAATAAATCCTATCAGGTTTTACCTATTAGGCAAGTTAGTAGTACTATAAATACCTGTACAATTACTTATCTAGTAAGTTAAGTAATAAATAACTATAGTAATAGATGATTATTTGTGATTTAGTTACAGGATTCCCTCATGTGAGGGGTATGAGGTCTTAATAATTACTGGGGATTGGTAGACTTCTTACGTCTTTCAAGAATTAGTTAGGGTCTCTCAGAAATGCAGGTTTTTTAAACTATGGTTTCGTATGGTACCAGTGGTAAATACTATATAGGTAATAATACTTAAATATGAAATTGATATAACATAAAAAGCAAGATATAATAATAATAGAATAATAATTTGTTTCAGATTGTTACGCGGATATATTTTGATTTTTATTTGACCGACGTTTCGAAAGTCGTTGCTGTAAAGCATTCGAAACTGCGGAGACCAAAAATCAAATGAAATCCGCGAATCTAAAAAGATAGTTTTATTTAAAATGTAAACTATTCGCGTAAATCTAAGATAGTATTATAAAAACCCTTATAAAATAAAGGTTATTTTATAAAATAATTGATGTAATCATGCTGTTCATTGTTATGCTAAGGGTTCTTAGTAAAAGTAGTCTCGAAGACCATTATTAACACTTGACCTTTTAAAATATAATAATAGCAGAATTATACCTAATAATTAAAATATTTGTGAGTGAATGAATGTCTTTGTTACTTCTACAGGTGTAACCGCTCAACGGATTTGATTGACAGTCTGAATGTAGATACCTTAGTTATTTCCATTTCAAAACCCGAATGTCACTCAAGCGATAGCTTATAATTTATTTCCATTTCGAATTTAGAAAAAAATAGATTCCCGATAAATCCATACTAATATTATGTTATAAATGTGAAAGTGTGTTTGTTTGTTTGTCTTTCTTTCACGTCGACACGGAGTGACGGCGTGATTTTTGGTGTGAAGATAGTTGGAGAGCTGGAGAGTGACATATACTACTTTTTACCGCGGGAAAATACGTTATAATACAACTCAAAAAAATATGTATGATCAGAATTACTTGAAACTTGGTATTAATGCTCTTCAATACAATTAAATAAATACGTGTTATAGCATTTTTCGAAATTCGTCCTATATGGGGGTAAAATAGGGGATGAAAATTTGTGTGTAACTTACTTTTTATACAGATTTTTTGTAGTTTTAACGCGAGCAAAGCCGCGGGTTCTGCTAGTAATCTATAAAATGTATGTCGGGATAACATATAATAATAACCTACTAACCAAATTGTGTTTATATAAATTTGGCAAAAGATATTATGGTTTAGAACTTATAAGAACTTGAGCAGACAAGTGTATTGATTACTCTGTCACTCACAAAGCCTAACGAAACAGCAATTCAACTGCCCAGGAGATATTATA